AAATTTTTAAACGAGACTCTGGGCATTGAAATGCACTAGATATTTTCAGGTAATAACACATTTATAGTTTTGAATAATATTTACTTAGCTTGGATGAAGGAGTGACTTAGTGAATTCATCTTCTTGAGGTAATTTGGTAGTCAGTGACTAGCACTGGATTCTAGAGTGCGCACTTCATCATTCATTGGAGAATGTGGGTGGATACAGCTGAATAGTCCTAAATGAGACAAGATGCCCATCCTTGATTCCGTCTACTAAATTACTTCAAGTTTAATATTCAGACATTGTAGAAGCGTCCATACTAAGAGCCTATATGTTAACAGAGGTCAAACATTTCGGTCCAGTTAAGCAATGGGAAGATCAAAAATGAATTAATAAACGAATAAGGTCACCTTCTGTGTGTAAAATCTGGTTGTATCAAAGAATATAATAAAATAATGTATTTACAAGGAGATTTAAGGATACGAGTTTATTTTCACTATTTCAGGTTTTCCGTAGTCATAATCTACTGGTAGTTAGATACACTTCAATTGTTCTCTAGACAGCTGATATGCATCACTCAGTTTTAGTAGAGTGAGTGCGCTGTGACCTTGAAACGTTGGTGGTGAAGACGCTGGTATGGTTCTCAGTCACGAAGTTAACGTCAATCCCTACAAGGTATCAGATAAGAATAACTGCTAAATGCCGAAAAAGTACGAAACCAATAATTTCAGTCCCCTTCTCTACGACTCAAACTGCATATATCAGTTTGAGTGTGTTTGTGGAAGCAGGTAAAGAGATAGTACAGAAAGGCGACTGTCTATTCGCATAATGGAGCATTTGCTGGGGTAAAAGTGCCCAAAAGTTCAATAACAAAGCATCTTGTAGACTATGGTTATGATTTTGACGCTGTCAAGTCATGCACTGTTATCAGAAGGCAAGGAAACAGGAAGATGCTTGCAAGTTAGGGGGCTTATGTCTCCATATTGGTTTGTTTATTAGATGTATCACACAGTGAAACAGTATTATTTACTGGATGACATATATTAATAAGGGGGCTTGTGCATTTAGATTGTATAAACCAGGTCTCGGTGTACAAAAGGAAATGGTTGTCACTCTGGATCTACCATGGTAATACGTTTTACTTACTGTTATTATTATTATTAATATTGTTAACACTTTATTCTACCTCTTATTGTTATTATTATTCCTGATTCATGTAAGACTATCTTTAATCAGTAGCGTAATCTTACTATACGGATCAGAAACTTGGCGGGTCACAAAGAATATTTCCAACAACCTGTTGCAGACCTTTATCAACAGCGGTCTTCGTTCTATACTAAAGATCAGATGGCCGGAAAGAATCACCAACAAGAAACTATGGGAACAAACAAAACAAGGACCAATCGTCAACCAACAAATATGCAGGAGAAAGTGGATATGGATTGGATACTCGCTGAGGAGGCCGCTGGGCGACATCGGGCGTCAGGCCATAGCTCGAGTGGAACCCGAAAGGGAAGCGGTGAGTGGGGCGTCCAAGAGTGACATGAAGGAGATCGTGTGAAGAGGAGTTGAAACAGTATGGACTAACATGGATGCAGGTGAAAAGTACAGCAGAAGGCAGAAGCAAGTGGAGACGTGTAGTTGAAGCCCTGTTCCACTAGGAACCCAAGGGAACATTATTCATAATAATATTACTCAATTCGCAATTCTTGATATATTTAGATTCTCTTTCTGATGATTTATTGTTTATCTAAGTGATTTAATTGAACCGTAATATATTTTACTTTACTTTTAATCACTCATACTCTCTTCCTCTTATTTGTTTGAACATGACCTGAAAAGCATTCACAAGTGTCGTTTCGCATGAATAATTGAGTGTAATTTATTTGCTTATCAGTCTTATTATCTTCCAGTGTATTTCTAATAGTATATGCATCCCTGTATATAGATTATGCAGCCGAAGAATTCTGCCAAAATTTAATGAATTCTGTAAGTCCTGCCATATTAATATTTGTTGCTTGTTTTAAGTTCGCATTGGGAAATAAATGTTTCAAAGAAAACTGTTGTGAAATCACTGCTTTCCACTATACGTTGTCTAAGTAATTATCATGGAGGTCTAAACTCTACTTTTTCTTTCATACCTGGTTTTTGATTCAAAAAAATTAAACTGCAAGCCTTATTCACTTTCACAGCTGTTAAATTCCTTTTACTTACCGAAAATGAATCGATTCTGTCCAGGTAGACTGATTCTTTTTAGTCGGCATAATGTTTATGTGGGGTGTTTTGGATTACTGTACAATTCTGGTGATGCGAAAAAACACAAACTCCTATCTGAGTAAGTTAAAAATTTCTAAGTGCGGTAACCACTATGTTACTTTGTAAACATGATAAACCCTTTAAACCCTGATATAAAAGTGCAATTTATTCCATCAAAAGTCATTTTTTTCTATACCAGAGAATTTGATCTGCAAATTTCTATCTGTGCTGACAAGAAGTTAGTACGATATGTGCCGATGATCGATATGAGTAGCTGGAATCCATTCACCAGAATCAGCTCAGTTGACTAAACATATCAGGTTGATCTAAATACCAGACTGTCACTTAGATAGCTACTGGTCAGCAGACAACTGCATTGATTCAGCTCTAAGTGTCGTCTAATACTAATAAGCACTAAACAACTGTTTTATCCCAGTTTGATGATATTAGATAGTTGGAAGCAATTGGCAGGAAGCCTTGGACCTAGGTTTCATGCTAGTTGGCACTCATCAGCAAGGCGTATCTGCAACCCAGAAGGAACTCACATAAGTTCTGAGATTCGAACCCGCGTCACCCAGTGCTGCGGGCAGAGCCGTTACCACTGAGCTATTCGGGCTCGCGAATGACCTCCTGTAGGACTGTTTTCGGTATTTGAAATTCTTCAGTAATGCAAACTTATGAATTTAGGAGAGATTGTGCCCAAAGTCGTTAGATATTAAAGTCATTCAGTCATTTGATTGAACCTTAGTGTTGTATGACTCTCAATGTTTGTTTATTTGGGATTTGGTGCCACCTCCACTTAGTATTCCATCCTATTCTTACGGGAACCTACTGTTCACTACTTATTGAAACTTTGTCATATCTGTTTCGTTGTGACTGAATTAACAAAGGAACAGAGTTTATTTAGTCCATTTCAAGTGGTCTACAACTAGCAAGTGAAATTATGCAACAACTACTATATAGTGATGAAAACAGAAAAGCTCAGTGTTCAACTTGGATGGAGTTCATAAAATTATGTCTTACGACATACTTCAAGTTTAATAATCAAATAAATGAACAGATATAAGGAACACCAATGGGATCGCCTATATCAGGATTATTATATGAAGCTTTTATATGAAGATAAGAATTAATAAGTCTACCCACAATTAAACCCAAAGTCCAGGCACTTTTTGTTGATAATACATTCGTAATAACTAAAAGAAATGATCGGAAATACACCCACAAATTTATAAACAACATATTCGAAGGTATTACATTCACAAAAGAAGTAGAATTAGACAATAAAATTATTTTCTTAGACGTCTTAAACAAAACAACTTACACAGGAAATTTAAAAAACTCAGGTATACAGAAAATCAATGCATACAGACCAAATACTCACCTGTAGTAGTGTAACAACAGAAGACAATGGCCAGGCAACAGAACCTTTATTACGGAAAATCAACACGTATTTATAGATTTTGATGTACATTATTGTAGGTTAATGTTAGTAGAAAATACAGTCTGTTGATTGGTTGTTTCTCACACAAAGTTAACCTTGCATCTCTTGTGGCTGTGTCAGTTCATCTATATGTTAACTGTATCCGCCTGTCCATCTTGACCTTTGACTTCAATTATTGTCAACCAATTTGGCTAGCAACCATCTCTCACCACAGTAGCAATAATCCAATCACCCACAAAAGAAACTGTGTGCAGACATAGGTTAAAAGTGTTGAAACACTGTAGTACTCTAGTGCTGAAGAGAACGGAAGAGAAATACTTGCTGGCTATCTCTAAGAAGACTGAATACCCCTACAATTTCTTCAAAAATCGTTTAAGCTGAAGTTGTAATACCTACAGGAAACCATCATCAAAGATCACAAGAAAATTCATCTTACTGTACATAAAATTATCTCTGAAATAACAACTAGAATATTAAGACGGTTCAAAGCAGATATAGCACACAAGCCAGCCAGCATAATTGTTCCATTCGATATATTGCAGACTGAAAGATTCAACAGAAGAAGAAGGTAAGATGGACACTATTTTCACAATGAATTGTATAAACTGTAACAAACAATTACATTGGTCAAAATGGGCGTCGCCTTCGTGTCCGAATCCGAGAACATAAATCAGCTGTGAAAAAGTACGATACGTATTCTTTCAAATCGATGCTTAAGGACAATTACGCACCTCAGTTTGATTGGGATAATGTAGAAATACTAAATAGAGGAAACAACAAAAATGAAGTCAGGGAATTCCTAGAGGCATGGTACTCAAGTGAATTAGCAATTAACAAACACATTACTACTGACGAAATTTACCAGCTAATAAGAAGTAAATCACATGACAAGGAAGTTCAAATTCCAAGTGAATAAAAATATGATCAGTAAACACGTAAATTAACAATCAGTCATGACAGTGGTCGCCGGGAGATACAATTATGTTATTCAGGGAGGATTTAAATGAGTTCATTTTTATACTAAAACCTGTGTTGTAGACGTTGTCTAGAAGGACGACGAAAGCTACGCAATTAAATCAGCCAGTTCAGAAAACACAACTTAATCAACACATACTTAATGTGCGTAAATATTTTACCGAATTCACCGCTAATACCAGAAGTCATCGTAAAATCCTTTCAATAACATTTTTCGGCAGCTACATTACATGCTTTTTATCTCCAGGGAAATTTGATTGGTTGGCTGTATTCTGACTAACGATTGGTTAACTGTCGCCAATAAATTTAATTCAGTATTTTTCATTAGTATTTGCTATTTCTTATCTTATAGTTAATTCAAAATTTGGAGCTTAATAATATGAAAAAGCATAAAGTAAAACAAACCGCTGATAATAACAATGCCAAACATGCAGTCAAATTCAAACCTTCCACTCAGTCCGCTTTTCCTCAAAGGAAATCCGCAAAACTATGCTCAAAAAGTTGTGGATACTGTTCACCTAAATTTGCATTTGATCTATTTTGCAGTTGTACAAGTGTACGTGGAATGGCTAAAATTCGTCGTGGACCTAAAGTACTGCGTATCATGTGGTTAACATTTGTCCTGAGTATGACATTTCTCTTGTTGAGTGCAACTGCATTATTAATTAAAGACTTTTTAAACTATGATGTCAGTGTGCATACACAATTGATAATTGATAATCCTTCACCGTTTCCTGCGTTAACAGTCTGTCACCAACCACCATTTTCATATGAAGCGTATAAATTGTGGAATCAATCGAAAATATTATCACCTTCAAAGTATAATCTATACATGAGAAAGTTAATCCTCAACGCACTGCACGAAAATGACATTGGCTCAGCTAGTTCAATATGGAGTTATGATAGTTTAAGTGTTTACTATCAAAACTTAAATTATGAAGAGTCTTTAAGTCTAGGTCATACTCCAGGAATATTTTTAAACTGTATGAGAATGTTTTCACATATGTCTGCTTTTGAAGATAATTGTACACTACTGACTGGTTATCGAATTAAGCGCCTGTCACATCATCAATATTTAAACTGTTATACTTTTGAACCCATAAATGCATATGACGCGAACGAAACAACCTTTCTAAGTCTAATTGTCGGTATGGGTCCTAAAGATAAAGATATAGACTTACAGCAAGCATTTCTACCAGATGTATTCGAACAAGCTCGTGGTCTTCGTGTTGTTATCCATGAGGCTGGCACAATGCCTGATTTGGAGAAGAATGGAATACACGTGGAACCTGGAAAGCTCAATGAAATCAACTATGAACCGGTTAGATGGAAAAAGTTAAACACACCGAAACGACCATGTATCAGACCGAATGAATCACATCAATACTTCGACTTGAATGAAAGATACAATTATACGCATACTCAGTGTCTGCTGGTACATCAGCAAATGGAAATTATGAAAAATTGTCATTGCATATATGTAATGCATCCTAGACTAGTACTGCCAAATGACAATCTACCCTATTGTGGTAGACTATGGCCCCAACTAAATCAAAGTGAATTTATTAACAAAATCCATTGTCTTGGAAAATTCTTAGACAATTCAGTGAAGCAAAAATACGATGGACAAGCATGTTTTCCACGTTGTGAATTCTATGATTATGAAAGCACAACATCAGTTACAAAATGGCGCGCCTACCCATGGCAATTGTATTGGTTACGTGTACAAAATCAAGCAGCTCAATGGTTGTTAAATTACCAGTATACCTATCCTAGTAAAAATATTACTCATACAGCGGCATATAAATTATGGGAATTCTATTTGAAATATCCAGATTTAACACATTTACCTCGGAAAAGTGGGTTGTTCAGTGGTTCAAGTAATAAATCGCTTGAAATCTCATCATTACTACCGAAATGGCCACCAGAAGACTTGGATTTAGATAGTGAAGACTTTGCCTATGTTATATTAAAACGTAAATCACAGAATACAGTTGAAAAGAATGAAAAATTAGTACTAAGTTTGTACGTACTTGTTAGTCGAATCGGTGGTCTATGCTCATTGACAATTGGATTAACTGCAGCATTTTTTGTCGAATTATTTGAATTTGGATATTTATTGCATGTAAATTCAATGAAAAAGTCTACTACTGTTGTTGAAACTCAGAGGTGTGTAGAACTGCATGAATTAAAACAGACAGAACAACAAGGTAATTCTTGTGTACAATCTCAAGCGAATTCACCTGAGTGTCGAGATAAACTCTGATCTCTTATTACCTCGTTTATTTTCATTCTTTTTCTATGCGAACATTGAACGATGTATATTTTCATTCACACAATGGCAGATAATCTAAGTATCACTTCTACCTTCTTCTTTTTTTACATGTATGCGAAGATGTATTTCTTCTAAAAACAGATTAGTAGTATGCTTTAGTTTTGTAAAAAAAATTACCTATGAACTATTGAAAACAATCAAGGTAACATGATTTGTACATTTTTCATCCTATTCATATTTATAGTTAAGTTGAATAGTAATTCATATGTACATATGTATTTCAAATGAAGAAATATTATACTTTGGAAATGTTTTAAACTTGGACAGAAAACAGCCAAGTCATCTTTCTTGACCGATTTTGCTACGTTAAAATGAATTAATTCTGTTTTTAAAACAGTATTTCTAAGAGAAGCCAGAAAATATGAATAAACGTCTTCATAGTGTCAACCTGTTTAAATACTGAGTTAACTGACTGATCATGACAGAAATTTAAGGTCAGTGTTATAATATTGAGGGCAATTGGAATATGATCCCTACATCTGTATTCATATTTCTGTGTTTTTTGGTTAACGTGATCATTTTAGAACGGAAGTGTTTGTGCGAATTATCTCCCTCTGTTATACCGATTATTACTGAAATATTACTATTGTTCTTCCCTTGAGTTCCGAGTGGAACAAATAGCTTCAACAACACATCTCCATTTTGTCCTATCTTCTGCCGTCCTCTTCAGCTTGGACCACGTTTGCCCACAATCTTTCATCTCCTCCTCACACGATCTCCTTCATTTCAGTAAACCTCGCCTAGTTAACTAGCTTGCTAGTTTTCTAGTCAGTCCCAAGCCCGAATAAAGAGCAAGGGTTAGGCATATGTCTAGCAACCCTACACCACTAAACCTATCAAACCGTTAGAGGAACTTCAACACACAAAAATTATGTATTAAAATTTACTGAAATATGGATGGCTGGTTTTATTTTGAGTAACGTGGGGATATTCTTAACCTGTAGTTTATCGAATCATGAATAACCGTCCGTCAATGAGGATTTCACTATGAAGTATACATTGACAATTAACTTGAATGTTGACAAATGTCATAATCAGTCAAAAAGATAAAATATCTGGTTTTAAATTAATACTGGGATCATCCTTCGTGTGGGAATCTATCAGATCACTTCTGATTTACGAAGACGTCCTGCAGAATATGGCGGATACGTGGAGTTGATTTAACAGTGTATGTCTTTAAGTAAGATAATTTATCAGTAGACTGTACAGTTATTTTCGCAGAACAACTATCTTTAATGAATAAAGACAACTAATTTTATCTAAACAGCTTATTTGTGTCATATGTTTTCTTTTAGGGGCCTGAGAAACTCCTAACTATTGTATAAAATGTGTGCCTTTTGTGAAGTCAAGGATGAAAGCTTTTTGAGATTCATTTTATGAACTGTAGTATAATTGTGGTGGAAATACAGATGAGACCGTTTTGAAGGAATCTATTATTGCATGGCCAGGTATTATAGCATCTGTTAAGAATTCCCATAAATAACTTGTTTGGTTAACAAAGATGAACTACAATGACAAATGACATCGGTAAGGCGATGGTGAAGTAAAGGATTTGTTATTAGTATTATTATTGTTCCCTTGGGTTCCTAGTGGAACATAGGGCTTCAACTACACGTCTCCACTTGCTTCTCTCTTCTGCTGTACTTTTCACTTGCATCCATGTTAATCCATACTGTTTCAGCTCCTCTTCACACGATCTCCTCCATGTCACCCTTGCACGTCCCACTCGCCGCTTCCCTTTCGGGTTCCACTCGAGCACTGGCCTGACGCGCGATGTCACCCAACGGTCTCCTCAGCGAGTGTCCAATCCATCTCCACTTTCTACTGCATATTTGTTGAGCGATTGGTTCTTGTTTTGTTCGTCCCCATAGTTTCTTGTTGGTGATTCTTTCCGGCCATCTGATCTTCAGTATAGAGCGAAGACAGCTGTTGAAAAAGGTCTGCAACAGGCTGTTGGAAATATTCTTTGTGACCCACCGAGTTTCTGATCCGTATAGAAGAACTGACTGACTTGATGTTTGTATTGAAAATCCGAATCACTTTGTTGTTGATGCAGGCTGAGTGACAGCGGAAGATTTCCAGATTGGTTTCAGGTTGATGAATGTGTTTCTCGCCTTCCCGATTCTCAATTTGACACCCTCGTCTGTTCCTCCTGTAGTTGAGACAATGCTCCCTAGATCAGTGAGTGAATGAAGTAACCTCTTTCAAATCCCTCCCGTTGATGGTGATTGGCGCTGGATGTTATTGCTGTTGTTGTTGTTGTTTGGTTATTTTCATCACCTCCGTCTTGTCTATGTTCCCCTGTAGTCCTGTCTTTGCTGCTTCTTCGACCAGTTTGTCGGTTTTCGCTTGTAAGTCTTCGATTTTGTGTGACATCAAACATAAATCATCTACGCGCGAAATCCAGGTCTTTTAGGTTCTTCACGTTGTTAGTACAACTATTAGACCAGAGGAGTCAAACAGGTTTATGTATGTACCGATGAAGACGAAAGGACTTTGACTTTGGGTTCTCTAATATCGACCCTAGTGACCGAATATGAGGCTATGAAGAATAATAATGAATGGAAAGCAACGATAAGTCTTTTCGAATGAAACTAACATTTTTGTCGTTGAAAGCTAATTAGCTTGCAGATAACTGGAAGGAGATGTGCTTTACATGCATACTGCAACTTGAAAAATCTACAGCGATAATCTAGATGTATACTTTAAAAGTAGGCAGTTAAGCGTCATAATGAGTCTGATGTACCAGCCATTTGGAAAGTTGAACAAGAAATTATGGTAACGGTTTGTTGAAAACTTGATAAGACGAATACCTGTTGACAGTAGCATGTTACTCTTTCATTCCTTCACGTTCCCCAGTGGAACGTAGGGCTTCAAGCTTGTGGCTTGAAGTTTCTGTAGCAGTGTTTATTTTACAGGATGGGGTTGCTAGCCTCATGCCCAACCTCTCCTCTTCACCAGCATTATTTCTGGCTTGGCGAAGTAAAGGAGTGCGTCGGCCGGGGATCGAACCCGGACCATGTGCATGGTTGGGGAGGGTCATAACCGCTTTGCCACCGACGCACTAGCATGTTACTCTGATGTTCACTAAATGGAAGAGCTTTAGTTTCTAAGCGAATCTAGATATGAATAGGGTACATTGTTCCTCTTAAAGTACTACGGATTAAAATAGTTCTCGTCAGTTAATGAAAGTGGAACGTAGAGTATTGATATTCAGTGTCTATCCATGGATTAGCGGATACTGAGGGCAATTGAAAAAGTGCTTATGGGCATGCATTCGACCAATAGAAACAGACCATTTCTGTGCGGATTTTATGTAAATGTCAAAAAGTGCGACTCCTTAGCTGTAGGATACCTTATCCGTAAATCGCATAGGTAATTAATTAAAAATGATAAGGAAGATTTTGTATTTTGAGTAGATGATATTGGTGTAGTTCTGTCCTCTTAGCAGGAAGGTATAATTACTAGGATTTCATTACCTTTTTAGACAATATCAATGTAAATTCCTAAATGATACCTTGGATATACAAATTTTTGTGTTATTTTAGTACTTATGTGAATGACAGCAGTGCACAAACCCCTAAAGCCAGAGAGTTTAGGCTGAATAACATAGACAGTCCACAAAAATCTTTATAACATGTCTTTATTTCATAACTGACGTAAATTGAAAGCGCAAAATGAGCAGTTATGAGGTTAAACACAGAGTATTGGCTGGCATAAACACACATAAACTGGGTATTCTTACTTCACACTTTCCTCTTATTTTAATGAATTGAATCAAATAAATAGGCCTATTTTTAGTATTTTCGCATGTTTAATTGGTTAAGAAATATTGTTGCGCTGTTCCTTTTTAACCTTATTTGTTGAATTTTGGCTAGCACTGTGGACTTTAAGGACTCATCAATTATATGAACCCCATCATAGCATCTATCCTTTCAAATAAACAACATGATGTGGATAATAATAGTGTAAGATAACTATAAAGAATTTATGATCCACTAGCGTTTATAAAAAGCTAACGCATTCTGCTTATAGATATTTAAACTTTAATTCATCTTATCCGTAATCTGTAAAAAACAGGCCTAGTTAAGTGTTTAACAAAATCAGCAGTAGCACTAAGTAGTACGAAAAATCCTAAACGATCAAATGAAACAGATAGGAGAGGCGTTGCTGTTAAACAACTGTCCTATAAAATTCAGTAGGAATATCGAAATGGTCAAAAGCAAAATAAAAATAATTGTGAAACTAAAAATGATAACACAAATAAGAAAGAATATAAGGCGTCTACAGTTTTACCGTATAAGAAGGGGACATCTGAGATATTACGTAGGGTTCTCAATAAAGCAGGAATTAGAGTGGCATTCAAACCTACAAAGTCACTTAGAGATAAACTCTGTAGGCTCAAGGACCCAGTGAACCCAATTAAACAAAATGAAATTATTTTAAAAATCCCTTTCAATGACTGTAAGGCCAACTACATAAGTCAAACTAGTAGTTTAGGAGTAGTGAGATCATCAGCACATAAGAATTTAGCTAAGGTTAGAATGTTTAATCCCACGAAGATAGGTAATTTAGAAAAAAACTCAGCGGTGGCATTGCGTGCATTAACACACAACCACATAATAGGGATGGACAGAGTCAAGATGCTAAAAAGTAATTTAGGTAGGTGGAGAGAGAGATTGACTATTGAACCCTGACTGATTCATCGAGTCTACACCTAACACATGCAATAGAAGTGACTCAAATCAAATACCAGAGATATGGAAGATGTTATTACCGGTCAAATCAGAGGATAATAAATAATGTTAGGATGTATTCAATTCACATTATAACATTCTAACAGGTTATTGATTTTACTATGAAAACATCTTATTCCCCATCTTATTGTATTTTATTGATAACACTAATATTATTTCCGAAAGTACTTTATCTTATGATGATTTTATTCGAATGTCTAATCAGATTTTACTCATGCATATAAATGAAGCAAGAAAGTTATGCAAGTACATTGGTATGATTATGAGCAGTAATAATTTGTTCCCGAAACGTGGTTTTAAGTAAATATTACTGTATAACACTGTGAGATTTATCAAAATAAAATATAATCCATGATAGAGTTATACTCTACCACACTGGCAAAGTTTTATACTTATACTATGATAAACTTTATCA